TAAGCTATTAATTATCATTAAAGATCATATTTGTTATTTATAACTCATTCTTTTGATAATCTTTTTTAATTTTTGATTAAGAAGTAATAACTCTTTCTGGCTTTTTTCAATTAAATTTGTGAACTGTAAACTTGGATACTACCCGAAAGACTATCTTTTTGAAAAATATATTAAGTATATGCGTTTTTCTTCTTGATTATTAGGAAAGTGAAGGTCGTCTTTATTGTTATTTTTGGATATTTGTGTGTTCAAGTGATCACAAAATTATGTTGTGAGATTTTAATATGTTATGTGTCAAAATTTTAGTATATCCCGTTGAAAACATTCAGATGTCACCTAGTACTTGGTTGATAATTGCATTAAATTTTTGTAACTACAACCTATAACTATAACAATAAATATGTTTTACTTCACATAAGTAGGCGCCAGTGATATGAAACCTTAAAAATAGTAATGACTATTTTGAGACATTGCCAAAAAAATTTATGATAATAACAATTTTAGGGTCATTTTTAGCATATACTCGATATGTCATACAATAATAAAAAAAAGATTGATTGAGGTTCATAAAAAAGGAGTCCAAGATCGTCCATTTGAATTTAATTAATTATGATCTTGTATGGATGTGATGTTCCCCTTTACTTGGGAGTGTTGTTTTTCAATATTTTCTGGTCTCTTTTTTAACTTCTAATGTTTTTTTATGACTTCTTAGAATTTATAATTTTTTATTACATCTTACCAACTATTTAGAGGGAGATTTTCTTAGACTTCTTACTAATACTTAAAATTTATCTATGACTCATTATTTTGTATGACAACTTTTTTTTAAAAAATTATAGCACTTTAAGATTTTAAAGAAACACTTTGTCGTAAGATAAAATGTTTTTGCCAACTATGTATCAAAATTACAAATATTATCTAATGATAATGTGTAAGCCTAAAAAAATAGTTTAATCTCGTGCGAAGCACAGGTAATTTGCCTAGTATTTAATAAGTACATATTTTTGTGTATCTATTATTTCATATGTAGAAGTCATCGATGATAGAAATTTTTAGTGAAAGTAATACAAATTATTAACCATGCAAATATCTAAGGATTAAAAAACATTAAATTAATCCTATGATAAGTTTCAAGTTAAAAAGGCCTGAAATATGAAATAGAGTGGGAATAATGTCTTCTTTTTTTCAATAGTTTGTTCAATAGTTTGTTCAAGGAGTTAATAATGTTTTTCTTTCTTGTTTTATAATTTAAGTAAACCTGAGAAATAGTGGTGTTTTTATACATTGAGCAAAGGTAAATAATATTGGGAGTAGTACTGAGTACCGATATAAGAGAGAGTTTGGACAACTCACAGTCTCCATAAATCATGTCTTACCAACATGGGTACATGAACATACGTTTTAGATGAATCCTTAGAGACTTCAGGCATAGCTTAGTGGATCCACATAGTTGAGGTGTCATATATTCTGACACGATATAAGATAATTTTGGCAGCGCGTGAACAAAACGTTGTACCATTACTTGACTCATAGTAATGGTTGTCAGTTAAAGAATCTCCCAATAGAGTTAAAGTGTATTTTATGTATCACTTATTATGCTAACGTCCACAGATTGAGAAAGTATATTTGTAGAGTTTTATGATTTCACTTCATTATTTATTTACATTAAGTTGGATATAAATGTACATATACTGCAACCCTTTCTTTCAATACATACTCGTACATTCAATAAATTGATTTCGTAAGTACCACAAAGCTATGAACTTCAATTATTTTTCTGCACCTTCTAAATTTTTTGAGTTATGCACATCCAAGGTATTACACTTGGGGTGATCGAGATTGTTTTAATCGTGGCGAGGTTGTCCACTACGTCAGAGATTGCCCCAAATGTAGGGTTGTAGCACCTACGAGTAGAGGAGATGCTTAGGGACAAGGGTGGTCCCCCAAGTGCTTGAGGAAGTACTCAAGTAGGTAGAGCAGGAGAAAGAGTTGGACTCCACTTTTTTGGAAGATGTGGGCATTTTTATGTGGTTCCTGCTAGGTCGGATTGTGAGGCTTTAGATTAAGTGATTTCAAGTACGATCTCAATTTTTTATTGATCGAACTTTACTTTATTTGATTCCAGATGTACTTATTCGTACGTATATGTTTATTTCTCTCCTTGATTAGAGTTGCATTTTTGAGCCCTTGTAAATGTTGCTGCCTGTATCGACTCTCATATTGATTCTTTAGGAGTGGATCAGGTTTGTGACAATTCATAAGTGCAACACGCAAGCTGACCTTATTTTTCCTTATATGCTTAATTTTGATGTTATTCTGGGCATAAACCGGTTATCCTTCTTATGTGCGGTCCTAGAGTGCTTTGCCAAGACTGTTATCTTAGTCATGCCTAGTATTCCCCCGGTTATTTAGCTTTTATTGGTGATTTTAGCAAGGAGGGACCTATGACTGATTTTGTTCCTGTTGTGAGAGAATTTGTCGATGTATTTTCTACTGATCTACTTGGCGTTCGTCCTGAACGTGATATTGATTTATTTATTAACCTTAACTCAAGCACTCATTCTATTTCTATTCTACAGTCTTGTATAGAACTTCTTAGCTTAAACAACTCAATATTCAGCTTCAAGAACTTTTGAGTAAGGGCTTTATTAGAACGATTGTCTCACTTTAGGGTGATCACATACTGTTTATGAAGAAGAAGGATGGGTCTATGCGTATGTGAATCAATTACAGTCAACAAGAATCAGTACCATATGCCTCATATCAATGACTTGTTTGATCAACTTCAGGGTGTCATTGTGTTTTCAAAGATTGAGTTGATGACATGTTATCATCAACTAAGAATTAGGGTAAAGGACATCCACCTTTAGGTGTTTTATTTACTGTGAAAAAAGTACTCTCTAGATTACTAAATCACCACATAAGTGATGATAACTCATAAGACCACATTCAAATACAACTTGACACTAATACTTCATCAAAAAATTGGGCCAGTGCATGCACGGTTAACATCATCTAGTAAATGAAACAAAGATCAATAGAAAGTTCCGTGAAGGATGTCAGAGTGAAGATAGAATCAGTTACATGTCATGCACATCAATGACTCTTTATTTTCCTGTAGTAAGATATAATATATTATTCGGAGTTACCATTCTATCATTTATTGCAACTAAAATGCTATCCCTCAATATATAGTACTATACATGATTCAAGGTAGCCAATTGTAGGTTAATTTTTAACTCGTACAGTGTACCACCTTTAGTTGATCAGCCTTGTTCTAGTAGTAGCAGTGTTCTGTAACATTTCCAGTTGCTCATCTCAGATCATCTACTCATCTAATATTGAGAAACTCAACTAATATATACAGAGTAAAAAATGCAACTCTCCTATCATGATGATCTTTCTTAAGATTTGAAATCGTAACAACTTTATAACATCATAATGAAGGAGTAACACCCTTGGGATCAAAATACACAGAGATTCAGGCCTCTGCATAAGCACAACATTACATTTAATAGAAGCACTAGAACATATCCACGAAACTAGATTTATTCTTGTGCAAACATTTAATAGTACATTATCAATTTGGCTTTATTGGCATTTGAGTATTTATTTACTTTTACCAAAAGCATCCTTATAATTTCACTTCAACTCTAGTTACATTCTTATATTAAATATTTCACTTAACATGAAATATGCTTGAAATTTTCATAAAGTAAGCAGAAAGATCCTCCTTTATATTTTTCAGCCATTTTTGCGGGAGCTCATAACACTCCTTTTGCTTTCATCCCTTTTTAGTGGCAAAATTCTATTGTAGGTTCCTCTTATCTAGTGTTCTTCTCTCACCTCTCGTTTTCCTCCTTCATATACATCACTAATCAGTCAAAACCCCTAATGTCTTTTACTTGTGATTTCTGCAGGACGTAAATTTTCAAATTGAGTTTCAACACCTTTTAATATTTTATTTATGTCTTGTGTTTTTTTATTTAGTTGAATATTATCTAATTATGAATCGAGTCCTTGATTATCCATGCCTCAATTGATTTCTTGTTCTTAAAAAAGGCTGGGGTAATTAATCTTGAAACAGAATCTTCCCTAAACAGTGATTACTCAAGGAAAATCAAAGATGGATAGCGTAAGGATATGGGTGTCCAAATCAATGTTGTTCTTGTTTTGCTTCTTTTTGAGAGTATTCTAAAGTGTTTTATACATGTTTAAATTGTGTTAAGATTTATATTTTCTATTACGATATTCTTTAACTCATCATAAGTTACAAGTATATTTTATGAGTTAGCAAATGTGAGTCGTTTGTATAATGGTAAAGGTATAGATGGACCACTTTAATTACAAGGAGCATATCAGCTCCAAATGACAGTTAAGGGGTATATCAGACCCTTTTCCCCTTTTTAATAACCAAGAAATCCACATGTGACCCGACGCATTTTGGGCCAATCACATTCTTCTAAGCTCGATGGATAATTGACCCGCCCCTCTACTCTTCTCTATGTAAAAATTGGACTTTGCTTTGCATGGTGTGGGGCTCGAACCTGCGACCTAATCCACAAATCCGCCACATTTTTCCACTCGAGCTAGGCCTTAGGGGTATGTTTAAACTTTTTTATACATTATTATGAGTAAGAAGATAAATACTTTCGTATTGTTAAAGCTAATAGTGGAAAGTTGTTAATTAAGCATGTCTACATTAGAAAATATACATAGTTCAATAAGAGCAAATTTAGAAAATATACAAATACAATAAAAAAAATTATCCCAGAAACTGATTTACTTATTAACTTTGCTAAATTTGAACAAAAATTTAATTAATATGATGATTTGGGTCAAATCCTACCAATTAAAGAATATCATCATAAATATTTTTACTTTTTTGTTATTGAATTCATTTTTCATCAAATAATATAGTGGTTCTATCTTAATAAATACATCTTTAAAACAGAGACTCAACATCACATTTTTTACATTCTCAAATCAAAAGCTTAGCCATGAGAAAACCTAATGGCCGCAAAAAAATTGAAATTGCGAAGATTCAAAATCAAACCAACTTACAAGTAACATTCTCAAAAAGACGTACCGGCCTATTTAAAAAGGCAAGTGAGCTCTCGACTTTGTGTGGTGCTACTGTTGCTATTGTAGCTTTTTCTCCTAGCAACAAAGTATACGCATGTGGACACCCTTCCGTCGAGTCAATTGTGGATAAATTTATCGGAGAGAATCCTCCACCTGAAACTGATGATCCTAACCCCGTCATTGTAGCTCATCAAAATGTCAATATTGATGAGCTCAATAAAAAGCTGAACAAGTTGGAGAGATCACTCGAAAGAGAAATAAAACATGGGCAAGCACTTCAAGCATTGAGGACAGAACCTTCAAATGAAAAACTTAGTTTTTTTGACCTTAAGATCTTGTGCGAGTCCTTGGACGCTGCGGATAAAAAAGTTGAAAAACTAGCAAGCCAACTTATGGAGTGTGGTATTGAATTCCCATATAAAACCATTGGAAGTGCGCTCGCTCCTTTAAGAGCTAGGGAAAGCACTTCGTCCGTTTCCAGCGAAGGGTCATCTGGATCCGGTGAATAAGTTTTTCTTGCTTTATTTAAAGTTCAATAACATAATTTGGTATTTATACAGTTAAGTATTCCATATTGATGATTAAGTTTTGATCTTAATTTTATCTTTTAGTATGTTCGTCATGAAATGGAATAAGCTTTTGTTTTGATACTTCATAAATTTTTTTGTCTTTCTTTTTTGTGGTCCATTTAAAAAATAATGTATTTTTACAACACTTAGTTTATAATTTTTACATAATTTATCCCCTCTGTTTTGGAGAATATACCCAACAATTTAACCTTCAGATTGCTTCAAGACAAGCACCACTCATAAACTACAGAATGCTATTATAAGACCAATGCCAGTTTCTAGGGCGACAATGAGGGGCCTTCCTTCCCATGACAAGCACTATTATATATATTTATAAGTGCATACAAGTTACACTATAGAATACACACAAAAAAATTACAACACACTAAATAGGGAGAGATTCACATAAAAAAATCACGATATGAAAGATAAACCACCTTATAATTATCACTAACAATATCATACCCTAAACCATACGCTAGTTTTAGGAGGAAGAGCCCAAAAAACAGGAAATTTAGGAAATTGAATATATTCCCTATCAACCTAGCTACAGAAATGTATGAGCAGCTGGAAATTAATCTTTATTGAAATGCTATCGATGAATTCATCTTCGAGGATAAGTATGAAGTTGGCCACGCTAACTGAGTTTCTATTCTTGTCTATGGGCATGGAGGTCTGAGAGAAAATTGCGGCAGTGCTTTGATAGGCATTATATTTAGCTTTACAGGGAGGCGATAGAATATTTCAATTATGACTTTTGCAGGTAGCTATTTAGCTTTGCCTCATTGCCATTGTTGAATTTTCGAGTGTATTTCAAAGCGTCAATCTAGTGAATCTATGTGCGCTGCAACATTTTTTTCACATATTTGACCTAAAACAAAATCCTATAAAATAATCTTTATTTGTATTTCATGGCCAAACACAATTAAATATTATAATATTATTTTTCATGTTAAAAAATAAATTTTTATTTGAAGAATAGGGGAATCGGTGAAAGAGGGAAAGTTGAATAAATTTGTTGTCATTAAAAAGGGGGAAAATATTATTTTTGAGTTGATATGAAGTTCTGATAATGTAGCAAACTTCGAGTTCTAACAAGGATTTTGTAACAGGCCTTGATCAATCAGTTTGCTATAAATTGCAAAGGATTGAGAAAGTTACAACTTGAAATAGACAAAGTACTGGATTATAATCCAAATCCAAAACATGATGAAAGGTAAACTTTAGAAAATCTTCTTTTCAGCACCGCAACTACACTTGAGTTTCTCCAAACGGGCTTAAGTTTCCTTGAGGTAAGCATTTGACATGTCGTTATACTTATATATCTTAAAGGAATTGTTTTCATGCAATTCTAATTTTTGTTGCTCCTAAGCGTTTTGAGTGCTGACACAATTCCCAAGGGAGCTCCATTTACGAGCATGCAAGAGTTTTCATTAGGAATAGACTTTGGAAAACTGTGTCAAATTACTTGTGTTCCACTGTTGATTGAGAGTTGCCCCAATTCGAGTATACTTCAGATTTTGGTAAGTAGCGGTAAATTATGTGGCCATGATATGAGTATGATCTCATTGATTTTTTCACTCCTTATATATACTGTGACAATGCTGATGACACTGTTTTGAAACACCTGGATAGACCGATTACCATCTTGGACCTACAACTGAACTAGCTCAAGTATGTGTGCCCGCAGCACGACAGATGTCTGGTGCCCGCAGCATAATAGTCGTCTCACAATGTGTGCTTGAGAGGCTCATTGCAACGCGATCAAATATCTTACTACTTGTATGAGCTGGAATCATAATTAGAAGAGTATTAATTTAAAAGTGGATTTTATGGGGCACACCTTGTTTTTTGTGCTGCAAACTGAAATCTGCAGTACAATTGGAACTTAGAAACAGAGATTTCCTATGTCTTAAATGTCAATAGTGTCCACCAACAAGGCAATAATGTGGGGATTCAATACTTTTTCAGTATGAGCGTATCCATCTGGTTGTCTTTGTAAAAATGCGATTAAGATGAAGAATACAAGTGAGAATATCTATAGACATAGGAGTTGGGCATAAAATTCCTTCAGTTCATTTGCACCAGCAGTTCAAAGCAACCTTTTCTACTTTTCTCATGATTTTGTGTTTATTAGGTGGAAAGCTGCCAAATATGTTGGGCAAGGAAAACAGTTCCTCTGTTTGGTTTGTGCATGGCTTTTAAAAGCTATTTAACTCCATTGGAAGTCGCCCTTCAAATGTTGTATCTTTGCTAAAACACTGTAATCTAATATATTGATCCTTGCTTCCTAAATGCAGATTCTTGATGCGCCTCTTAGAAACTCTATATTGAAGTCCCTAATGTGTTTGCGTTGACTAGCCTACAGGCAGACTAAGTTTATTTAACACTCCTTCCGCCTTTATGATTTTATATTTTTAAAAAAGACCATATCTCACAAGTATGAATCGTGACTTCTAAAAACACATTCTCATTTCCAATCAATAAAAGAAAAATACAGAATTTGAACAAAAACCAAAAGTGGTGGTTTAATTGGAGCAGCCCATCAGGCTTTATTGGACTTAGGAGGGTACCGACTCGTTATCCATCCACTGCATAGAGCGGGAACTATTTTTTGCTCTGTGAAACCATGCTCACGCAGTCCGCTCCACTTTAGGATCCCAGAAGCCCATTCTTTCGATTGATAGCAAGGCCCAGCTCTATGCTTGGACAGGGTAGGCATGAAATTAGCCCACCAGGCCCAACCATCTGGAACAGCCCAACATTCCACCACACTAATGCCCCAACTTGGGTTACAAGCCCATATTACTAAGCTCGGCAAGCAGTATTGCTTTATAAATTCATACAAACAAAAAAATATTACTATTCAATAACGATGTGGGACACATTTTGTCAAAGCATAAAATCGAATTAGTGAAATACTTACCATCTTAAGAAAGTCAAAACATGCAATTAATTCTTTTTTCTGCTCTACAACTAATATGTAAAAACATGAAATCTATTAGAGTGTTACATGAAAAACATCAGAGATTATGGTAGGAAAGGGTAGAAGTTACATGAGATATTATGGTGCATCAACAAAAAAGTGGTAATGGAAAAATTTCAAGAAATGACTCAGATATCGTGGAAGTATTTAATTGAAGGAATTCTACAAAATCTCTTCAAAGATTCTCACTCATATTTTACATCTTACTCGCATAATTTATGTATCAATTTTCTTTTAGCTAGACAAATCTGAAAATGGTGTGAATGAATAGTCTTCAGCAGTTTCAATTCTCACCACAAGGAAATGAATAATCAAATAATAGCGTGTAAATGTCAGAATAAGCACAAGACTAGACATCAAAATGTAAAGCTAACCACTACACAAAAAATTATCTACCACTAATTATCGACAATAACTTAATTACATCTAAGTATGTCCCGGAAATCTATAGCAACATTAAATCCAACTATATATTATTGGTAAAAACTTTAGTACTCTTTGTTAATATGAATATTTTTCGCCGCTAAAGTTGTTTTTATTGTAGTTAACTCCCAAAAAACTCAAGACTTGATAATTCTCAACCTTTTTCTTATGAGTCCATCTAATATCGTTCCGGCCCAAAAGTACAAGTCGTGATGACACTTATATATGTTCCCAACCAATAGGTAGGCTAATTTAATATTAACTAATTCAATTCAATATATAATGTAGAAAGTAAGTGACAAACAAAATATCCAAACACTAAGTCTTTTAAAATGAAATGCGGAAAAATAGAAATACCACACAAGATTGGTGTTATAAGTACAAGAACTTCTACTATACGATAGAAGTCTGAAACTTAAATGACAAGTCTAAATGTAAGAAAATTTGTGTATGTTATTTGTAGTTTTGATGATTTGACAAACTGAGTGATCTTATGAAGGAACCTGGTTCTTGGCTCAATATACTTTTTGGCTGCCTGCTGGAGAATATACAAAAGTTGGTGCACAGTCTCAAACAGTGGCAGAAGTGGGAGACGCGCCCGAATCCTCAGCCAATGGGATTGTTTTACGTTTTGTGACCTTTCTATATACACAAAACATCCCTATATTCATAATTAGTTTTTGCAACTTGAAAAAACATTCAAGAACTCTTGCAAAGGGATAGAAAATCAAGGAGAGGAAATATTCAACAACAACAGAAGCTCAAGTGAACATTCTGTAGTTGTTTGGGAATACTTTCTTTTGGTCTTACATTGTAAACCAATCCTAAAACTATAAAGAAATCAATGTGGTTTGATCTGAAATTCTAAGTTAGTTAGTTGAACTAATTTAGTGGGCAACCTTTGTGTTGCTTAGAAAATTCTAAATCATTAGTATGTTAGTGGTTTAGTGGGTAGTCTATGAGATCGCTTAGAAAATTCTAAGTTGTCTATAGTGATAGCTTAGTGGGTAGATTAACATATTGTTAGGCTCATCAAGCAATAGTGTTATTGCTTGTTGGTGAGATTAAAAACTTTTTCTCACATTTTGTGTAAACGATTTCCTTTTGCTTGTGAAGATTAGTCAAACGCTTGTGAAAATCCTTTGAGACATGTCATGGTTTTACTCCCTTGTGTAAGGAGGTTTCCACGTTAAACTCCTCTGTTGTTAAACTGCATTTACTTTCTACTATATCCTTTTTTGTGTGTCAATGGACCTAGTCCATTGACTGATAAAGGACGCACAAATTTTAACAAGTGGTATCAAGCGGGTACTCTCTATTTGGTTAATACCAAGACAGTGAGTCCTGATCTAGAATGGCTTCTCCACTCAATCTGGAAGAGGGTTAGTCTTCAATTCGACCTCCTCGTTTCAATGTCCACTTCTATAGCTGGTGAAAAGTTAGAATGCATGACTTTCTTATGGCTGAAGACAGTGAACTATGAGACATTGTCTTGGATGGACCCTTCATTCCTATGATTGAAGAGAAAGATGGTGAAATCACTAGGCTTGTTCCAAATCCTAGACGCAAATATGATGAAGCTGATAAGAAAAAGATTGAAAATAAATACAAAGCAAAAAAGCTTCTTGTTTGTGGTATAAGACCTAATGAGTTCAATTGTGTCTCAGCTTGTGAATCTTCAAAGGAGATCCGAGATTGCTTAAAAACAGCTCATGAAGGAACTGAACAAGTAAAAGAGTCAAAGAATGATATGCTTACCTCTTAGTATGAAAATTTCAAAATTAGAGAAGGTGAAGCTATTCATGAGATGTTCACAAAACTGTCATCAATCACAAATGAGTTAAGAAGTCTTGGAGAACCTATCAATATGAGCAAGAAGGTAAGGATAGTGCTTCCAATTCTTCCCAAATCTTGGGAAAGTAAAGTATATGCCATCACTGAAGCTAAGGATTTGAAAGTGTTAATAATGGATGAGCTCATTTGAAATCTAAAGACCCATGAAATGAACCCAAGTTATGATCAGTGAAAGAAGGAAGTCAAGAAAGGTAAGTCCTTGATGCTAAAATACAGATCTGAAGAGGACTCCAATGATGCTGATCATATGTCCTATATTATCAAGTGGTTTCAAAAGATTATGAGGAAAAACAAAGGCTTTAGAAAGAGAGCAAATGTTCCACGAACTGCCACTCAAAATGATACCTGTTAAAAGTGTGGAAAGGCCGGACATTTTATAAGAGAGTGTCCCTTACTTAAAGCTGAAAACAAAGAATATCAAAGACCAAGAGGTGATAAAGAAAAGTGCAGGGACCTGGTACTCGATAAAAATGATAGAAAAGTTGCTGCTGACTATGTGGTAAAGAAAGCGCTTGCTGCATGGGGTGATTTTTCGAGCGATTCAGAAGACCCTGATGAACCAAATGATGTGTCAATGGTGGTCTTCATGAGGATGAAACCATATTCAGTGAGATGTTTGATTTCATGGCTCATTCAGAGAATGAAGATGATGAGGATAAGATAACTCTTCTTGATTTGAAACATGATCTGAATACCTTTTCTCTTAAAAACTTGAGAATATTAGCAAATGTTATGATTGATTCAGTGATTGAGTTAACTTCTGAAAGAGATACCATAAATGCTGAGTTTGAATGTTTAAATGAAAACAGAGATAAAATGGTTGAGAAAATGTTGAAAATTGAAGTCAAAATGATTGTTCTAGAAACTGAAAAACTAGAACTCAAAAATCAATTGTATCTGATGACCGAGAAGTCTAAAAAACTGAAAGGAAGGTCTACTAGTTTACATGTGGAGCTGGAGGAAAAAAATGAAAAACACTGAACTAACTTTGTATTAGCCTTGGAAAAGAACAAAAGCTTAGAGAGAGATTTTCTCAAACTTAAGGATGACCTTGCAAATTCTCTTAGATGGACAAAATCTTCTAAGTTGCTTTCAAATGTGACAAATCAAAGAAACTACAACAAAAGGGATTTAGGAAGCTTGAATATTACTCCTCCTTTGAATACTCACAGCAAATATGTTTTTGTGTCAGATAATTTGTTGTGTCTTTATTGTGGTAGGAATGGACATTTAAAAAGGGAATGTTCAGCATGGAGAGAGTCACATGAAAGATTTTCAAATTATACAGAAAAGAAAAGGATTTCAAAAGGGGGAGCTGGTCCTGTCCAAAAGCCCTTGTCAAAAAGAGTCTAAAATTATCTCAATGGGCAAGAAACACTTTGATTACTCCTTTATCTACCTTCTGGGAACTTAAAATTGAAATGGCTTCCCAAGTCTAATAAGTGATTCTTGCTGTAGGTGAGTGAGAGGAGGATCAGTCAATGTTGGTAAATGGATAATGGATTCTCTAAACATACGACTGGAT